CGACGCCCGGAAACCACGGTAAAAAAAAAAAAAAAAAAAAAAAGTTCTAACTTCTTAATGAATTGGTAATAGGATGGAAGGGTGAAATCGCAATGCCTGAAAGTAGATTTATTTCCTATCTTAAGGCTGGAAAGGTGATTTCAAAAGGGTGTGTGTATCACTTAGGGTGTGTTTGGTATGAAGGAAAATGCTTTCCTAAAAAATGTTTTCCTGGAAAACAAATAGATTTTAAACTTATTTTCTTATGTTTGGTTAGTGAGTAGAAAATATTTTCCAAAAAAGATTTTTAGTGTTTGGTTTTTGAATGAAAAATGTTTTTGAGAAATATCTTTTATTTTTACTAGAGTAGAAAATATTTTTTGAAAACAAACTTAAATTATTTTTTTTTTGGGTGGGTGGGGAGGGGGGGAACGAGGGTAGGGGTGAAAATATAAAAATTTGAAGTTGAAAATATTTATTAAAAACAAACTTAAATTTTTTATGGGGGTGGGAGGCTGGTAGGGAGGTGGGGGTGGGGGTGGGGGTCGAGGGTAGGGGTGAAAAAATGAAATTTTGAAATTGAAAATATTTTTTAACAACAAACTTATATTAAAAAAGTTGGGGTGGGGGACTGGTAGAGGGTAGGGGTGAAAAAAATGAAATTTTGAAGTTGAAAATATTTTTTTAAAAATAAACTTAAATTTTTTTTTGGGGGTGGGGGGATCGAAGGTAGGGGTGAAAAAATGAAATTTTGAAGCTTAAAATATTTTTTAAAAACAAACTTAAAAATTTTTTTTGGGGGTGAGGGGCTGGTAGGGGGGTGGGTGGGTGGGGGAGGGGTTGAGGTAGGGGTGAAAAAAAGAAATTTTGAAGTTGAAAATATATTTTAAAAACAAACTTAATTTTTTTTTGGGGGTGGGGGGCTGGTAGGGGAGTGGGTGGGTGAGGGGGGCTCGAGGGTAGGGGTGAAAAAATAAAATTTTGAATTTGAAAATATTTTTTAAAAACAAACTTAAATTATTTTTTTGAGGGGTGGGGTGGGGGGCTGGTGGGGGTGGTTTGGCGGCTGGTAGGGTGGGGGGTCGGAAGAGAGTTGGAAAATGTTTTCATTAAGTTTTGAAGGAAAATTATTTTTCTTAAATTTGAGAAAAATGAATTCCTTCCTACCAAACACACCCTTAATTTTTATGAATGATACACGGTGTGTAGTTCCCAAATTATTTCGAGTTAGTTGAATCTTGACCCAAAAATTAATTTAATCTTTCTAAATTTGACATAATCTGGCCATTTATTACCCCTTGGTTTTGTAAAACGTAATCCAGAGCATAGAGGAGGACATAAAATTCAAACGTAAAATATATTTTCTATGAAATGAACCTCACCATCTATACAACATTTATTTCCCATTCCATAAAGAGAACAAAGTGTGAATCCAGTACAAATTCTTTGTCCCTTTAGTATCCATAAATACGTAATTAATTCCATAGTTAAAGATGTTTAATTAATTGGAGTAAGTAGTGTTGAAATTGCGTTACTTTGAAAACTAACTTTTTCTGACAAAGAGAATTAAGTAGTATAAATAGGATAATAAGAGGTAATTAGAAGATAGTATAACAATGTCTACCATCATTTACCCTGAAAACACTTCTCCTGTTGCTGATGCAGAGGCCATTAGGAAGGCTTGTCAAGGTTATTACTACTTGATACAGAAAAAGAAATTTCAATTTTGTATAGCTAAATTAAAGTTATATCAAAATGTTCTTCAATCACGTGGTTCTAAATTGTCTAATATTCCTTTTGATTTCATTTAGTTGTGTAATTGATTATTTAATTGGGTTTTTCTGGTTTTTAGAAATTTTATTTACTTTCACATTTTCTTATTGTCAAGTGAAATTTAGGTTGGGGAACAGATGAGAAGGCAATAATTTCAATAATTGGCCATAGAAATGCAACTCAAAAGAAACTGATTAAACAAGCTTATGAGGAGTTATACAGTGAAGATCTTGTCAAGCGCCTTGAATCTGAATTATCCGGACAATTTGAGGTTTCCTTTTGGAACTAATTCTTACATATATGTTTGTACTTGATAATTTGAACTCAGGACGTCATATATAATTAATTAGTTGAAGTGTTTTGTTAACACAGAAAGCAGTATACAGATGGATTCTAAATCCAAGAGATAGAGATGCAGTAATATTGCATGTTGCAATAAAAGAAAGAGCAATCCCAAATTATCGTGTGGTTATCGAGTACTCATGCATCTATTCTCCTGAAGAGTTGTTGGCTGTGAAGCGTGCCTATCAAGCTCGCTACAAGACATGTGTCGAAGAGGACATAGCTCAGTATTCTACTGGTCATCTTCGCAAGGCATCTTTCTTTTTTAATTTCCATTTAATTAATTCAACCCACTTTTATTTATTGAGATCGATGTTAATTTGTGTTTACTTCCTTTTGCAACATATATACAGTTTTTGGTTGGGCTAGTTGGCACATACAGGTATGTTGGTGATGAGATAAATGCAACAGTAGCCAATTCTGAGGCTGACATTCTTCACAATGCAATAAGTAACAAAGAATTCAATAATGAAGAAATTGTTAGAATCATTTGTACAAGGAGCACCACTCAACTTGTAGCAACTCTAAACCGCTACAAGGATTATTATGGCTCTTCAATCACCAAGGTACTTACATAAATTCGTCATTTATATATATATTTATGGTTTCTTACTTCTTTTTCCTTTTCAGCACTTGATAGATGAAGATAATAAAGAGTACCTACTAGCACTGCGTACAACTATCCGATGCATTAATGACCCCCAAAAATACTATGAAAAGGTACATAACTATTAAGTACTATCAAAAAAGAAGTTGTAATAGTCTGAAATACTATCAAATTCATCTTCAGGTAATTCGCTATGCCATTAATGAGTCTGGGACTGATGAAGAATCACTCACAAGAGTGATAGTTACGCGGGCTGAGAAGGACTTGAAGGAGATTAAACAACTTTACTACAAGAGGAACAGTGTCACTCTTGATCATGCAATCACCAACCACACTTGTGGAAATTACAAGGCTTTCCTCCTAACTCTTTTGGGAAATGAAAATTAGTAGTAATTTTTAACAATAACTCTTGTTAGGAAACTTTCATTCTATTTTCTAAGTTTAAGGTAGGGTTTGAGTTGATCTCTCTAAAGAACAACAAAAACTTCGTCGTTGCTCTTAATATTGTTTTGTTTTATCAATCAAGTCTTTTTTTGGATTTTAGAAATATCTTATCCATCAAGATTGGAGCTGATTTTTTTTAGGAATTCTTTAACTTTAATTAGAAAATCAATTAGTACTTATTGAAGACAATTGTGTTTTCTTTGTGAAAAAGCAACCTATGAATGTTCTAACTAAGAAGATTTTGGTTACAACACAATAGCCTATTATGAAACTCAATATATAACAAGTAGTAACATTTTCCAAACTAATATGTTCTTGATGTGCTCTTGTAATTTATTGAATGACTTTCGATTTCTCATAACATGATGCTTAAGAGACTCTAAATTATATCATGTGTGTATCTGTATCACGACTCAAATTCTCTTATGTCATGTGGCAACAAATCAATCTTAAAGAAACAACGATGCCAAGATATTATAACAAGGTAAAGTAGAACAAAACAATATAAATAATGATGTATTTTCAAGTCAAATACAACACGAAACTACACACTATAATCTCCAAGAACTGGTGTTATAAGTCATGAGCTACAACGGATGGTGAAAGATACAAAATATTTTGGAATATAATAGGAGTAAATGATTTTGAGCTACAATAATGAACTAGCTAGCTGGTATCATAAAAGCAGAATGCTGGTATGATAACCATTGTTCCCTCCACCAACATGGCAACAGTTCAACTCACTTGCACACGAGAGTGCGACAAGTACAACACTAATTAAGTAAGTATTATTGATGAATTGGTATTTTATCAATTCATTGGACTCAAATTTATGAATTATTAGTGTTACATTAATAATTATATATGAATTATTAGGTCTCATTGTAGCTATATATCCCGATCCCGATATAAAATGTTTCTACTTATGCTAAACTAATGTAAGATTCCGGGAGAGGCTTGCTCTTATTGTGGCTATCCTGATGTCAGATTCTATACCTACTTTGTGACTCCCCGATGTTAGGTTTCTTAGAATCCTCGCTTGAGTTCCATCTCTGTTTCATAGTTGTTATTCCTTATATTGCTCATTACTCATGTTAGTTCTTGTGTGCACTTCTCGAGCTTATCAGGGTCTCGTCAAGTTATTCTCTCTATCTTGTCTCTTGTATGCACATTTTGGACTTATTCGGTCCAGTTAGGTTATAGTTAGCTTTGTCTTACTTGGGTACTCACTTTAGATTCTCCTTATGTGGTATATGAATTGCTTTACTCTAATTGTAACTTCCTAATTCATACCTTCAATATAGGAACATCAATACAAATAAATAGTCTTGAAACAAGTTGAAATTAAAGATTAAATTGGGCTCAATTGAGGATTCTATTAGAATAAGTTGAGGTTGAATCTAATTCAAATTATTTTAAGCTCAACCTTTAAAATTCTGGACGGGTTACCTATAGTTTATCTCATTTTGACACCCTAATTGGTACTTTTACTAGTTTAATTATTAAGTACTTTCAAGAGTTGACTTTTGGATCAAAGCATGGTTGAAAAATAACCCACTTATTTTATGTTAAAATAAAATAAATTATTAGTGTGGATACCCGTATAGAGTGGAAACTATTCTACTTTTATTCTTAAATCCATTATAATAATAATTCTAGGTGTCAAAACGGCTCTAATCACTAATGAAAGATTGATAGGGCAAAGAAAGTCCCACATGGCTCACTAGAATTTAAGGCCAAACCTGTAGTTATGGCCTATCAACCATCAAAAAGCCACAACCAAAAGAATAGGAAGAATGACAAAGTCAAATTCTTCTTATAGAATAAATCAAAGAGTAACAAAGAGAGAAATCAACACTTAAAATTCAAATCGTCGAAAATGAGTGTAGTTGTTGTTGATGGTCCAATGATGGAGGAATTCGTTGATGACACCGAGGCGTTTGGCAAGTGGACGGACAAACATTTTGATATGCTAGACACAGATGGAAACGGGGAATTGTCTCGAGACGAGCTCCAAAACAGGAAAGGTAAATTCTCATCGTGTGAATTTGAGTTGCAGAGCAAGGAAGAAATTTCAAGTTTGTATGACATCCTTATTGAAAGATTTGATATTGACAAAAGTGGAACTATTGATAGACAAGAATTCAAGGCTCTTACAAAAGAAATCATGTTGGCTAAGGCTAGAGGGATTGGCAATTCCCCTGTTTTAGTCATTCTTCAAGGGGATAGCCTTGTTATGAGGGTTGTTCAACGTTTTTCAGCAAAATAACTCATATTTATGTTCCTAATTCATATCTCATTAGTTGTTACTCTTTCTATTATAGTTTGTTTGTCTTAGTTTCATGGAACATAAAGTTTAATAAAGTTATATTTTTTTAAATCTATACTCTTTTTGTTTCAATTTATTTTTCTGATTTTCACTCGACTTGGTGTTTAAGAAAATAAAAGAGAATATTGAATATCATGGTCTGAAACTAATGCGATGTGGAATATGCCAAAATGATCTTAAATGTGTTAGGATATTCTATTAACCATGCGTTTTGACGAGAGGGAGTTGCTCGGATGGTAAACACCCCTCACTTTCAACCTGAAGGTTGCGAGTTCGAGTCACCAAGGGAGCAAAGGGATAGGAGTTCCTAGGGAGGGTAAAAAAAACATGCGTTTTGATATAGTATTATTTATTAAACAATTGTTTATTATTTATCCAATTCAATAAAGTGTTACATTAAATAGATCAATTTGTCATATATGTATACTCAACTTATATAGAAGATGATTTGGTGTATAGAGTTTAATCTTATACACAGAAGACTAAATCATCGGTTCTTATAAGTTAAAAGTTATTGTTCACAATCGTTGATGGAAATTTGGACAAACCATCAGAAAGATTGTAGCACGAGATTAAATGTATTTATCTTGATTATGAGAATGGTATAGTTTTAACTTCTCGTGCAACATTTTGTATGTATTGAAGGAGACTAAGTAGAGATAGATGTTTTAGACTCTTATAAAAACATATTCTCTAAACTATTAAATGTACTTATATTCTTAATCTTGATATAACGATTATGATATTTATATATTAATTATCGTTTTGATTTATTAAAAGGTGAGATTATAAATGGATCAATATGCCTAGTAGATTGGATGATAATAATATATATTGGTGAAATAATTAGTTAGTTGATGGAATCCATGTCTCAATATAGAGATTGATGATATACCTTTTTATGAGAAGCTTATAAGTTTTCATGTGTAAATCCAGCCTGTAGATGTATGAATCTGACACATGAAATAAGTTAAGTATTGATCTCAAGATAATTAATCATTGAATTAAATTCGTAGGTAATTTAATTTATTAATTAATATTAGTAATCTTAACATGGGAAATTACATAAGTGTTTAATGGGGAATTTTGAAATATAAATAGAGGAGTGTAATTACGAATTTCTAGTGAAATAATTTGTAATTTATTATGGTAAGAATAATTCAAATTAATTATTTCAAATTATTTTCATAATAGGAAGCCTCAATAATTAATTATGTGGTCCCTACAGTGTCCATATTTAACTAGAACTCAGAATCATATTTTCTAGTAGAAGAAGGAAAAGTAGCATGCAATTCTTTCTTCAAGAAAGAAAAGAAACGTGTGTTTCTCTTCTTGAAGAAAAAAGATTTGTATTTTCTTCTCCTTTGTGGACTAGGAAGAAACCTCTATAAGTAGGAATTCTTCAAACCTAGAAAGTCATTCAGTTTTCTATACGATACTTTTCCACCCAAATATTGAGAGAGTTCAATTATTAATTTGGGGTCACTGTAGAAGACCATGGAACTGGAGTCGGATTTGCCTCAAGATATCTTCACACGCTTCAAGAAGTAATCCTTGAGTTAATTTTCAACATACTTTGTATATGATACGTATTTGTGGTTGTTGTCTATATTCATGTAAGATGTATGATTCAAGAATGCTTCCGTTGTGTATGCTATTTTCTAACAATTAATCTCCCACTTAGACTCATAACCATGCACCTACAACTCTAACACCCATTCCTTCAACATGTCTATCAAAAGACATTTGCAGTAAAACTTTTGTGAAAGGATCTGCTAGGTTGTTATCTGATGCAATCTTCACAACCATCATATCTTCTCTCTGTACTATGTCTCGAATCAAGTGGTACTTTCGCTCAATGTGTTTTGCCTTCTTATGATTTCGTGGTTCCTTTGAATTCGCAACCGCACCACTATTATCACAAACCATCGTGAGCGGTGCTTCTATCGCAGTAACAATCGCCAAGTCTTTCACTAAGTTTCTGAGCCATGATGCCTCCTTAGCTGCCTCAGAGGATACTACATATTTGTCTTTCATGGTAGAATCAACAACACAAGTTTGCTTGATGCTTCTTCAAACAATGGCTCCACCTCCCAAAGTAAACATATTTCTTGAGGTTGACTTTGTAGAGTCCATTTCAGACTGGAAATCTGAGTTTGTGTACCCTATGGGCACCAACTCATCTGAATGATAGACTAGCATGTAATCTCTAATCCTTTTTATGCTTAACTGATGTCCATTGTTCTCGTCCAGGATTAGACTAGTTTCTGCTAACCATGCGTATGGCAAAACAAATATCAAGTCTAGTGCATAACATCAAATACATGAGGCTTCCCACAACTGATACATAGGGACTATCTTCATGCTTTCCGTTTCCTCATATGTCTTAGGACATTGATCCTTTGATAGAGAAATTTCATGTCTGAAAGGAAGAAATCCTTTCTTTGAATCATATATGCTAAACATGGTAAGAATTGTATTTGTCACTCCCCGAGGCTATCCCTAGGCGCCACAGGGTGCTTAGTGTCACAAGTGACCCTAAGCTAACCAATGGCATAACACATCTATATAACTTCAATTAACACATGCACTGTGCGGAAGCTAAAAATTGACATGGTAGTGATCTAGTATTTTAAAAACCAAATATCGAAATTACGGTATCGAAACTTTTAAATATCGTGCCGTACCATACCATGCCCACCCCTAGTTATAGAATATCTCAACTCTTTGAGTAAAAAACAAACAAACAAAAAGTGGGAAAAGGCATAAATTTCACCCACATGTCCCAAAAAGTCAGTTACATGTTTAAACTTGCATAGCGAACTATTACACACTTTTACTACTAAAAATGAATTTAATATCATACTCAAACGTACAAAGTCAGTCGTACAATCCAACGTGATTTACACGCACCTGCTAGGTTATTACATGCTTACACGTGTAATTTATTTATTTATTCTCTCTTGTTTTTCTCAATCATTTTTGACTTTATTTTCTCTCTCTATTCTTACCTAAAAAACTCCATTTTTGTTTCCAAAATATTCACCGGCAATGTCATCTTCTTCTTTGTCCATTATTAATACAAATATTAGCAAAATCAACCTATAACTTCATCCAATTTAATCTTCTTTTCTAATCACCATCAACCCCACCACCATAAAAAGAAATTCAACACCATCACTACCACCAAATATCACCATACCGAATCATTATTTCACCACTAGAAACCCAACGAATAATTATCAATATTTATTTGCAAAGATCATAATCACACAATTGAAAAATTAGTGCTCGATTTACTATTACTAATTTTGAAGAAAATCTAGAGGAAATTTTTCTGAGAGAGAAGAAAGATTTATGAAAATAACATAGAAAAAGAAAGATTAGAAAAATTTCCAATTTCATAGGCTCACTATCAACAAAAAAGACAAAAATAAATAGAACAATCTATACTTGACTTGACGAATTTGATGGGGTGGGAGTAGTAAGAATTGATCAATTTTAGGTGTCTCGCCGAGTTTTTTTTCAACTTCGCCGATCTTTTCCTATTCCTCAACCTTGTTTTCTGTTTTTCTGTCGAAAAACTACCATGAAAAAAATTGTTTGTCCCATTAGTCATAGCAACAAAAGTATTTGTGATAAAGAAAAAATGGAGGAGAAGAAAGATGGGTGGCGTGAAGGAGAAGGGGTGGAGAAATTTTTTTTGGCTTTATTTTGACTCAAGCATGACTTTTTTATTTTTTAGGGCGGTATGAAATTCACTTTTCAGTAGTATAGATGTGTAATAGATCGTCCTAATAGTTTAAGAGTATAACTGACTTTTCAGGATAATTTCAGGGATGAATTTATGCATTTTTCCAAGAAGATTTTGAAAGTAGATTGATCGGGGTAAATATGTAACTTCATTATTTTAATTTAGTATAAATTATAGGAACCACATATTATAAATAATAAATAACATCCTATCCCTTCTAGTTTTCTATTTACCAAAAATCCCTTAAAAATGATGTTTGCGGGATACATAGCGTTGTGCACGGGATACATTAGGTTTGATACATTCCACATAGCGGGATACATAGCGTTGTGCACATGATACATTAGGTTTGATACATTCCACATAGCGAAATACATAGCGTTGTGCACGGGATACATAGCGTTTGATACATTCCACATAGCGGGATACATAGCTTTGTGCACGGGATACATGTGAGATACATAGGTAAATAAGGGATTTTTGAAATAAGTAGGGATAAATGGATATTAAGGTAAGTAAAGGAGTGTAGTTAAGTAATTTGTCCTTTAATTTATGTATAACTAATACACATAATTTGTTCCACCTTCTACCTTACATAAAGTTGGATTCGGCTCCTTTCCATTTCTCTTCTCTTCATTTTCCCCAAGTTCCTATTTGAATTAGTGACACATGGCATATGTTAAAATAAATGGCTAAGATTTAATTTCTCAAAGTAAATTTTTAACCATGTTTTAACTAATAAATACAATTTATATTTATTATTAAAAATTATTATAATCTCACAATCTTAGCAACATATTATCTTGTCCATAAATATAGGGAAAAAAAAGTTCTTCCTAATTACTTTTTTTTACGTGGGATTCTTTTTAATTTTCTTTTAAATATTGAACTGTTGCCAAATATAGCTAATGTTAATTTTGGAGGAAATAGGAAAAAAAAAGAAGGTGAAATAAAATAGGAGAAATAATACTCTTCAATAGCTAATGGTTAAAAAGAAAAATTCGAGGAAAAATGCAATAAAAATATTAACTTAAAAATGAAATAAAATTAACATCCTAAGTAAAACAATTTAGGAAAACTTTTCCCTAATTTATGAACAAGATAATATGTTGTTAAGATTGTAGGGGTCATAGTAATTTTTAAAATTAAATATATAATATATTTATTAGTTAAATCATGATTAGAGATTTTCTTTGGGAAATTAAATCTTAGCCATTTATTTTAACATATGCCATGTGTCATTAATCCAAATAGAAACTTGGGGAAAATGGAGAGGAGCCGGATCCCATAAAATTATACATATATTTCCTCATAACTTATATGAGTATTTAATTATGTAACATTACTAAAAATACAACCAAACATTGTATAAAATTAAAACATGAATAACTTTTATACAATATTTGGAAACACACCAACCATTGCATAAAACTAATACATGAATAACTTTTATATAACATTTGGAAACTAATACATGAATAACATTGTATAAAATAAGATAATTAATACATAAATAACTTTTATACTATTTGCAAACCAAACATGGTATAAATTAATACATAAATAACTTGACTATTCATGTATTAGCTATACCCTTATCCAATAACCAAACGACTCCTAATTCTTCAAATCCTGATCAAACTCATACTCTGCTTAGGTTTTTTCTCAGGCTTGTCCACCTCAACCATGCATTTCAACATGACTATATATGTAGGCTAATGATGTCTAAACATAGCACAATCTAATTCCCTGAGATGGAATAACAAGAATATCCACAAATAATAAGAACAGACATAGGCTGGTCAGAATTCTTGCATAACACAACGTACCTGTCGATCTTCTTTTAGCTAAGCTACTTTTACACAAGTTATATTACATCATAATTCCAAATGTCATTGACCCGTTACAAAATGGCTCACCATATAATTGTGTGAAGGTCTGGTATTATCAATGGATGTGTGATTTGTATCAAGCTGAAATATCGGGATATCTTGAAACATTTTGGAATAGAATGTTACCAGTCTCATGGAACTTGAGTGTATTCTCTTAGTTGATGTTCCCATTTCTACATTTGCAATGTACCTTGGCAAGAGCAGCCATGTAATAATCACTCCTGATAATGAATATTAATAAGAATTCTTTTCTTCATGCTAAAATATATTTCTAAAGAGTAAGCATATGAATAGCTAAAAAAAAAACCCGTAATCAAAACCTTGATCCATAAGGCGATTGACAAGCAGCAATTAAATGAACTGTAGCTTCATCTGGCTCATTCTGGAAAGCAAAAAAGAGCAAAATAGGTGATCAAGTAAGACATTTGGAGATCCAGTATTCAAAGCCTAGGTAAAAAATCTAATGATAATTTTTGGAGTTCCTAGTATTCAAAGCCTGAGTAGAAAATTAATGGTAGTCTTTCCAACTCAGACCATTCTTACACAAATTAAACCATCGGAGATGTTCCAAATATTCCAGAAGGCATTTTTATCCTACCAACACTTGCTCTACTTCAAATGCCCTTTTTTTGGTTTAGAACTGATCTTTATCCAAATTTAGTTCCGTTGAAAAAGAAAACATCACATTGTAATAAAGTAAATCAATATGCTAATATTCTTTTTGCTTTGACTTCATACTTGCAATCATATGAAAATTAAGTAGAGGGTAAATCTTGATTCTGTTTAAAGATAACATGACTATCTATATGTATGTGTGACCACAGCAAAAGATGGTATTTCAGGTTTTTAGATGGTACTTCAGTTACTTGCATAAAAGCCTATCAAAAGCAGCCCTTGCACTTTACATCTATCAAAATTGCAACTCTACCTCACTGTTGAGAATAAAAGAGGCATACACAAGTTATAAGAAAATTTGTAGTGTACAGGTTCATTCTCAGAGTAATGTGTACATTGTGAAGGTAAACTGGGGTAAAGATAAGCTTAATTACAAACGTTTCGAGAGCAATTTGGACGAAGAATCATCCATAATGAACATAAGGTAGAGGGATTAGTAAGAACCTGTGATCCATAGTACAAGCCATCATATAGAGAAGCATAGAAGTATTCATTTGGCTGTCCACTTGGAAATGCAACAACAAGCAACAAAATTAGAATTGTATGTAGTTAGTAAATATATTCAGACCAAATCGAAGCTACGTCCTAGCTCAAAACAATATAGTATAGATCATTGAAACAAACTTGTACACGTTTTTAAAATGTCATGCTTCAAAGGAAAAACTGTAATAATTTAGTAACAATCACTAGACTGAGTTTTGAAAAGTATCATAAGAAAGGCTGGATTGAAATAAATTTCGCCAAGAAGCACTTTCATAATTTACCAACTATCACGGAGTCACAGTTTAAGACATATCATGAACTTTTCTGACGGCTTTATGAGTAGGAATATTTTAGGACAAAATGGATTTTCTAAGTAGAATGTTTCTTTGAAGCATATATTGCTAGAGAAAATCCTGTAGTTCCAAGTCCAAGCAGAACTTTGTATAGGATATTGATCGTTAATGTAACTAAGGAACAATATGGTGGCATCGCAAAAGTCTCTCGCCCATGGTTCCGAGATTTGAATTTTTACCTCCATTAATTATTTGAGATAATCTCAAGAGTTTCCTTGATGAAAACAATTCAGACTTTAGCAGATTGCAGACTAGTCAAATCATATGCAGATAAAACTTGTCTACTATAGCAACTACAAATGAGTTGTTGATTATAGTTATTTTAGGTTATTTACAGTATGAAAGCCCAAGAATAGAGAACTCCGAAAAAGTTATAAGACGTTTTAGCTGGGTTGTTAGCATATTTGCTTCTAATAATTGAATGAAGGAGGAGTTGAGTCAAAGTATAAGAACAAGAGAGTGAAATAGAAAATATATTGCCTGCTTCAGTTAGTAGTACTCTATGATCTGAGTAAGAATGGGAAAAGCACTAGAACATCCTCATTTGAAAATTACCATTAAAACAACTTCAATTAACTACGGATATGAATTGAATTTCTTTGTTCCGACAAATAAACTACATTCCACACCTTTTCTGAATCACCACCATCTTTAAACATGTTATAGGCTTCTCGCATGACTGGCTGTAGATCTCTACCAACCTGCACTCAGATGCTTAAATTTTGTAAGGAAGCATACAATAGAAAGATGCTTGATCAAATCATTATGCATTTCAAATAATAGCGATACTTGTAAATTACCTCAAGATATCTTTTTCTTGCTTCATGAATTCCATACAATTGAGCTTCACAAAGAAAGAACCATATTGACTCCTCTGTATCATTTGGGTTTTGGGCAACATCTATACGGAATTGATGTTCACCTTCCTCATACCTAACCAGAAATAACAAGCTTAAGGCAATATAATGAGGAGTGAGTTCAAACTATATAATGCAATTACCTATCAAGATAATATAGAGACAACCCCCTTTGCCAAAGATCTGATGAAGTAAAAGATGTGAGGTGAGTTCACGATAATATTGCTTGAAAATGGTATTTCAGAATCTCACATGCTTTCTGGCGAGGATCAAGCTGAATTGCCTTGTCAAACTCCACTAAAGACCCTAACACATCGCCCTTTATTATACGAACAACGTAACCTTCAAATCAAATCATTATAGTAAAACTGTGTAACAAAAATCCTACTCTTGACTGACCTGTCGAAAAAGAAGCATTCCTTTGCGAATTGCCATCACAACTGAGTTACCACTTGTTAGGGCATCCCAGACCCTACAAACGAATACTCTTCTCCTCAAGGTTGGTACTGGGTTTTGATAAGTTTGGATTCTTGATCCAAATAGAAATTTTCGACCCAAATAACACTTGTCAAAGGGCTTCATCACGCTGGGTTGCATATGATGGATGTGTGTTGTTGCCATTACCAGCTAAGTGTTGGAATTGAGATGATGATGATGATAAGGTAACCAACCATACCTATACAAAATTGAGGAAAGGCTGTCAAACAAGTATTGAAATTAATTAAGGCCACAATTTTGACCATCTAAGGGGGGGGGAAATAAGCTAAGAATGTTTTCCAAGTTTTCAATTAAAAAAAAAAAAGAAGACAAGTGCGCCCCCTTTTTTTTTTTTAGATTTCTAATTTTTATAATGTTAATAAAAGGGATTAAATTAATAATTTTAAAAACTTAAAAATTAAAAGTAGTTGTAGATAGTGAAGTTTTATTGATAAATTCATATTAAATTTGGATTAAATCTTAAATTCATGATACATTGGCCAAGACAAATTATTGGTTAATAAAGTCGGATTAATATTTAAGTCAAAATTATATGGCTTAAATCAAGTCCATCAGACCTTGAATGTGAAAAGCCATCATCCCCGGTCCTGGCCCTCTTTGCCTCCCTAGACTTTTTCTTAAGTTTATCCTCTTCGATTTGTTGAGCATGAATCATTAGACGAAAAATGTCAATTTCTTTAATGAGTATGGTGGTACGACATTCCTTAACCAACATTTCAGACACAACTGAGACGAACTTGCTCATCTTTTCCCTAGAGTCAGCAACCATAGTACCTAGACGATTGTGTGAACTTCAAGGCATACTCTTTCCCACTCATATTTCTTTGACGAAGGTTAATTAATTCAAGTACCTTCGCCTCATCCATCTCAAGGGGAAAGAACCTATCAAGGAAAGCACCCGTAAACTTTTCCCAATCAAGTGGGCCCGTATCAACCGCTCTCTCGTCCTTCCATTGGTTGAACCAAACTTGAGCAATACTCTTAAGTTGATAAGCGGAAAATTCTGCCTTTTCCACTAGTGTCACTCCTATGATCATCAACACCTTGTATACCTCATCAATGAACTCTTGAGGATCTTCCTCAACCTTGGAACTATGAAACTCCAGAAGATTCATCCTAGTGAAGTCCCTCGCTCTAGTTGTCGTTGTACCCACACTTTGGTTCAGGGGACCACAACATCCCTATTGGCTCAGGCCATCATGGCCTGAGCCAATACTTGAAAAGAAGCCCTAAACTCTACATTAGTCACTTGTTCAGCCAAAGGATTAGCCGGAACTTGTGGAGCTTCTTGAGGAGCTTTTTATTCCACATTCTCACCCGCATTCCTTCTAACGTATGCTCTTTGAGGGGACATATCCTAAAAAGCATCCGATAGGGATTAGGAGAGAGACATATAGATTTTAACTCTATCACACGACTTTAGAATGATGAAAGAATTGGAATTTCCTAAACATCTTATTGCCTCTTATTCATAGAAGTGGGGCGCTTCACACTAACAAACAATACTCTACTCGACGTGGCTTATGAGACATCCTAGGACCTTTTTAAACCTTGTGCTCTAAAATACCAAGGTTTTCACGACCCAAAGTACACCCTAGACGTGAAATGGTGTATAAGACCCCGAGAGGCCCTACACAAGACACTTAGCATACATCATACAAGATAAGAGAAACAAAAGAGTTTAAAAGGTAGCATTTCATACAAAAGAGTTTGACAAAAGTTGAAGTTTAACATAAGTCTCAAAGACATCTATTACTTCAATGAGAAAAATGATTCGGACATAGCTCATACATCATATACAAAGCCGGAAAATGGAAATGACATGAAAGCAATCAAAGACTCTTGGCCCTCAGATCATGAGGACTCACCAATCTTCAAAAGCCCAAAAGAATCAACTAGCCACAAACATGGGGAGTAGAAGCGTCAGACCTTACATTAGTGAAACAATATAGGCACAAATATACATTATTACATGGAATGTACTTAGTATAAGACAATATGTATAAACATATGCATGACCATATCAGTAACTTAAAATGAGTAGGCATGATCATAATGGGACATTTAAAAGCTTTAAAGAAAAGATGACATCAAAATCATGAAAGCGTGGTCAAGTATATTAGCATAAAGGACATAAGAAACTTTTTGAAGAAAACATATTCATTTTGTGGGATATTAGCTTTAATCGACAATATGATCATGAGAACTATATCGTGGAATCCGATATATCCCTCGTACCGAAAGAAATGGAAACTACTTACCAAGGTAGAATATGTACATATCATCAGTTGCTAAAGTGGATCCACTAGATAGGTCATTTAAGACAATCCTACGGGGACACATAGTTTGGGACTAGAGGTTGCTACTAGAGACTACCCTATTTGAGCCTCCACATCAAAGCCTTCTCGGTGCTAAGTCTAAATCCCAATGGAACGGATAAAAGATAAATATCATTTTAACATTGGAAAGGCAATGATCAATACCAATCCACAACTTTTAGGATCAAAACATAGAATAACTCCTTAAACATAATCCAACATAGACGAAAAAACATTTCACCAATGTGAATTCATCTGTGAGAAATACCTTTCACAATCATGATCATCATAGTAAGTGAGAAATCATTTCACAATAATATCAATACTTTCCTTTCAAAGCATCATAAATTCATTTACAATACTTTCCTTTCAAAGCATCATCAATTCATTTACAATACTTTCCTTTCAAAGCATCATCAATTCATTTACAATAACTTAGGGACCCCATGAAGGAAAGGACTCCATGGGTGAATACACACACACCTTGATCCTTTAAGCCCAAGAAAATGTAGAATTTGGAGACTTGAATGGAGCCCTAACTCTTCTTCTTCCTTAGACTTGAGATAATTGGGAGGATGAGTTTATTTAAGTTTTAGAGAGTTTAGGAGAATGAGTTGAAATGGGTAATTTTTTGGCTTAAAACGTTTATATAGGGCTTAGGGTAGTAGGTAAAATGACATAGTTTTAGGTTAAATCATTGGAAAAGACTTAAAAGTCCTTTAAAAATAACTTTCAAGCCTCACCTACGGTCTCTTACAGACCGTACTGTCCAGCCGTAGTGTCATGACCCGAGCCTACACCCCGGATGTGACACGACATACAAGACTCCTAAAAGCCTCATACAAGCCTCATAGCATTCATAACATAAGACATATGAAAAATGGTATGGAATTTAAAACTTTTAATCCATACAATCGAAAACTTTATTTAAAACAGCGGAAGTCTAGACATAGTCTCACATGGCCATCTACTACAATCGAAGTCTCAAAATAGGGCCACAACCCTTACAATAGGAAGTCTAAAAAGTGTCTAATACAATGAAAGACATGAAACAAAACATAGCACTTGTCCTCGGATCCATAAGGACATACCACAAGCCTTAGTGAATAGTCAACCCAAGTTTGAACTAGAAGGAATCATCTCAAATGCTGGAACCTACACTTTGTAGTAAAAATAGAAGAAATATGGGTTAGCACACAAAAATGTACTAAGTATGACAGCCATGCAACAATCATGCTTAAAAATGGTATGGTTGAAAACCATACTATATGCCAAGTTTGAGAAACATCATGAACTTTTAGTAAAAACACATATGACATAAGCATATTCAACATACAAGTCATTATAACACATTAGAACCATCATCTAAGACAACCCTAAGCTATACTTGTGCAATGTATGAATGGCATTACATACTACCACACATACTAAGTACTACTTTAAGGCCACAATAACATACTTACCATTCTTCTTTCTCATCTCTAGTCAATAATCATAGACAAGGTGCATTCACATTCAATAAGGCGTGACAAGGAAAGCAACTCATAATAACATTTCCAAGATAAGCATTCATCATTTCATTAAACCTTTAAGTCAACATTTTCATTAACATCATTATAAGCACTTTCTTTTCATTAGACATTAAGACATTAGAGAATCACACCATATCCACTCTCAAAGCCTACTCGTGCAATGCATAGATGGCATCCCATACTACCACCCACACTTCATAGAACTTCTTGAGTAACCATAGTACCTAACTCATATCCTTGATCATAAAGCATTATACATAAAGGAACACACCGTGATTATTCTCAAAGCCTACTTGTGCAATGCATGGATGAAGTTTCATACCCCCACCCACACCAAGTAGTGCATTCTTGAGAAGCCATAGTTCATTATCATTCTTTGTGAGGGTAAGCCTTAACCGACATAGACCATGTGAGCAAATCATGGAATCCCGATGTTACCCACACCAAATAAGGGATTCTTACTTGACTAAGGTAGGACCGTTAACATTTAGCTTAAGTGGATCCACTAGCTAATAACCTATGTGGGGACATAGTTATGGGATATGGAGATTGCTACTAGATACCCCGACTCAACTCACGTAAGGGCATCCATCTCAAGAGATTGCTACTAGAAACCCCGCCTTAACTCACGTGAGGGCTTCCATCTCATATCGCTATCCATTCAATGCTTAACATTATTCCCCACAAAGTACTTGACATTCATTACTTTCGTTCATTATTATGGGATAAGAGATTGCTACTAGATAGCCCGCCTCAACTCATGATTGAGTATCCACTTCAAACCCAAAATTCATTCATTAGATAGCTCATAGATTCAAAGATGAGAATAACCTTTCAACTAAGAATCCCCATATTGTGAGAAAGTCCTTTCACAACATGTCATTATCATTTATTAGTGTACAATTGCGAATAACCTTTCAATCAACACATCATCATTAAAATAATCTTAGAAACTTCATTCATTCTTCATTCATGAGTGTGTATGTGAGAATAACCTTTCACATATATCATCATCATTCATAATTATTAAATTGAGAATAACCTTTCAATAATAACACAATTGCATTTTAGACATGATCACATTACTTTCAGTGAAATCACAAAACATATACATAAATCTCATAGTCATGTATAGGTTCTTCATTCATTTCCCTTCAAGAACCCTAGATCACAATTCATTATTCACATCTTGCATCACTATTCTATACATGGATATTCACATATTTCAATTAGATTAACTACTACATGCATAATTTGATCACAATCCACCCAC